AGGACCCCTGGAAAGAGTCCCAGGAATGAGAGAGGTGGAAACTATCATTTACTGCTTTTCTACTATGTGTCAGGCACTGTGCTGGGCACTAACACCCCTCCATATCCCTTTATGAAGACACATAGGAATTTCCCTCGTATCTCAATGCCAGAAGTAGTCGGGCTTCTCCTGAGTAGTTACATTGTTTATTTATAGAGTCTTTACTGTTTCAGGCATTATACTTATCCACATGCATTATCTTTTGGAATCCTCACTGCAACAGTACTGTTGTAGTAGAGATCATCCCATGTTTTAAATGAGAAATTAAAATTCAGAGAGATTAAATGACTAACTTTTCTAAAGTCACAAATAGCCCAACTCTTTCTTATTTATGCTATGGGTCTGCTCTGTGTTCAGTTCTGAATGCCTGGCCTGTATCCTATGCTTTTCTTTACCTATCACCCTGTGTCTAGAGGGAGGTAGAAAGAGAAGGACCCAAGCCTAGCAAAAAGCAACAATAAATGTACATTCATGGAGATGCTGGCAGTTGACTTAAACTTGAGCCACTTCTCAGAAGTAGCACCTATCGCTTTCTGACATTTATTTAGTGATTTTTATTTTTATTTGATAGAAATAGGGTCTTACTCTGTTGCCAGTCACGCTGGAGTGCAGTGGAGGATAGTAGCTCACTGTACTGTGGGTCTTAAGGATCCTCCTGCCTCAGACTCCCAAGTAGCCACTTCACCTAGCTTCCCCCGCCCCACTCCCATAGAGACAGGGTCTTGCCATCTTACGTATGCTGGTCTTGAACTCCTGGGCTCAAGCAATCCTCCCACCTCGGCCTCCCAAAGTGCTGGGATTACAGGCGTGAGCCACCGCGCCCAGCCAAGCCAGAGATCTTTGATGGAGCATTGTCAGAAGAATTTCACAAACTGCAAGTTGTTGCACAGATGTATTGATTTAATTAGTCTAGATAGCACCATTTATTTATGCTTAAGCATCTCACACATACAAAAGTTGGTAATTTGAAGTCACACAATAATTTATGAGTTATCTTCAATACCAGGAGTTGTAGCTTCTGAATACCAACTTTGGTAAGTGTATGTGTGTCAGATGCCTAAGCAAAAGTAAATGATACTATATAGACGAATTAAGTGATACAATGTGCTTCTGGAATTCTGTTGACATCCTGTTTCATCTAAAATCTTCTAGTAGTGTATTTTAAAATAACATTTATTGTTCTAAACAATTTAATCTCATGTATGAACAAGATCTTCATTGAAGACGAAACATTTGGGTTCTGCTTGTTAAGGCCTCTTTGAGCATCTGGGGGAATACTTAATATGCCATTGCAACTTGATGAAATTGTCTTGGTTAACTATACAGCGAGTATTCTGGATAGTGAGTAGAGAAGAGTAGAGTTTATCCTCTTAGCAAAAAGATTTAATTTAGTTTCTAATAGGTAAAAGACTGTTTTATTCTCTTGGGTAGGGAAACTGTTTTATTCTCTTGGGATCTCTTTGCTATTCTGCCTCTCTTCCTCCCTCTTTCTCTCTTCTAATTTTAACTATAAGAACACCAAGGTATTCTATGTCTGCCAGATTTTGCAGTACTGTTTTCACACTTAAAAAATATGTAACTAATAGCATTTTAAAATCTATAGCTAATTTAAGTAGGTTTGTTGTTGTTTACAGTGATAAGCTTTCAAAAAGTGACTGGGTTGTAGTTAAAATACTAGGAATTTTGGTAGCATCTTTTCTTCCAGAGTTTGGGATGCTTTATCATTATTATTTTTTCTCATTATATTCCCTAGAAGATAGAAAGAACGATTAACCCAGTTTTACACATTAAAAAAAAAGCCAGAAGCTCATAGGGATTAAGTTTTTTGCCTAAGATTGGGTTTACTAAGAAGGTACTCAGAATGCACAGAGAATTCCAGAGCTTGGTAGAGTGCAGCACACTACTCATTGGGAAATACAATAGGCAGATAATTATTTTCTCTGAAGTCTTGACTGCTAGTCAACTTATTTCTCTCTGGGACTACCCACTATCTTATCACTAAAACAGAAACTTATCTAGAGGTGAGGACTACTCTGTAATCTCCAGGTGATGTTAGGAACCTTTCCCACTTAGCACAGCTGGCTTAGAATTCCAAGTAAGTATATAACAAGAGTTTTGCAATAGGCATGGTGGCATGCCTGCACTTCAGGAGGCCAAGGTGGAAGGATCATTTGAGCCTAGAAGTTCAAGACCAGCCTAGTCAACATAGTGAGACCCCATTTCTCTCTTTCTCTCTTTTCTCTCTCTTTTTTTGGGGGGGATAGAGTCTTGCTCTATTGCCCAGTGGTACAGTGTCACAATCTCAGCTCACTGCAGCATCCACCTTCCAGGTTCAAGCGATTCTTGTGCCTCGGCTTCCAGAGTAGCTGGGACTGCAGGCACATGCCACCATGCCTGGCTAATTTTCGTGTTTTTAGTAGAGATGGGGTTTCATCATGTTGGCCAGGTGGTCTCAAACTCCCAACCTCAAGTAATCTGCCCGCCTCAGCCTCCCAAAGTGCTGGGATTACAGGTATCAGCCACCGTGTCTGGCCAAGACCTCATCTCTTAAAAATAAAAATAAAAATTAGCGGGGCATGGTGGTATGTGCCTATAGTCCTAGCTACTCAGGAGGCTGAAGTGGGAAATTCACCTGAGCCAAGGAGTTTGGGGCTGCAGTGAGCTACGATTGCACCACTGCACTCCAGCCTGAGCAACAGAACAGCGACATCCCCTTTTAACTCCCCTCACGACATCCCCTCCTCCCGCAGAAAAAAGCAAAAACAAGGAGTTTTTTAAGGCTGCCAAGTACCTGTGTTAATCGGTGTTCAAAGAATGTTAAATGCCATTTTTAGGACCATTAGCTATTATACTTCATGCCTCATAATGAGGTGTCTCACTTACTGTGCGTTTGATTGCATGCATCCATAAATTTAGAGATGGGGACATATCTATGGGCAAGGCCTGCTTACTACCCACTGAAGCAAATGCAAGAGGAGAAACACATCCTGCAGAGAAAAAAAGCCATTTAAAATGGAAGTCCCACCACTGATGCCTGGGGGCATAGACAGACTGAATTTAACATGGTAAACGACCCTGCTGGTGTAGAAAAAAATAATCATCCATTTGGCAATGAAGAGCAGCGCAGACTCAGTCATAGTTCTCTATAGCAACTTATGCTTTTAGATTTGCAGGTAATACAAAGAAAGAAAGGATATTTATAAATCCAAGTTATAATTATTTTTTATTACTTTTTTTTGGAGACGGAGCTTCGCTCTTGTTGCCCAGGCTGGAGTGCAATGGCATGATCTCGGCTTACCGCAGCCTCTGCCTCCCGGGTTCAAGTGATTCTCCTGCCTCAGCTTCCTGAATAGCTGGGACTACAGGCATCCACCACGACACCTGACTGATTTTTGTGTTTTTAGTAGAGACAGGGTTTCGCTCTGTTGACCAGGCTGGTCTCGAACTCCTGACCTTGTGATCCACCCGCCTTGGCCTCCCAAAGTGCTGCGATTATAGGTGTGAGCTACCATGCCCGGCCTTTTCATTACTTTTTATTTGTCTCAAAATTATTTCTCAGTTAAGTCTAGTGATTTGACTTAAATACTTGAGACTTACTGTCCCTCCTCACCTCATGAGTTGTTTCTTTTCTCTCTCTCTCTTTTTTTTTTTTCGAACCCAGGCTAAAGTGCAGTGGCACAGTCACGATTCACTGAAGCCTTGACCTTCTGGTCTCAAGTGATCCTTTCACCTTAGCCTCTTGAGTTGGCACCACATGTGTGTGCCATCACACCTGGCTAAGTTTTTAGGTTTTTTTGTAGAAACAGTCCCACTATGTTGCCTAGGCTGGTCTCCAACTCCTGGGTTCAAGCAGTCCATCCTGCTTCAGCCTCCCAAAGTGCTGGGATTATACCTGTAAGCTACTGCACCCAGCTATAAATTGTTTCTTTAGTAGTGGGCATACAGTTTACCACTTGGGATTGGTCCAGATGCCCAGATTGAGTTTATTTCATTCGATATGCTTGGAGCATCTGCTTTTTTCAGTTTGTGGCCTGGCACTCTCAGAATTGTTCGTTGTTTTCAACAATTAGGAATGACAGAGAGCACCTGTGCTTTGCCTGTGCAGTGCTTAAAAAATTTTTTTAATTTTAATTTTTGTGCGTTCATAGTAGTTGTATATATTTATTGGGTGTATGTGATATTTTGATACAGGCATATGATGTGTAATAATCACATCAGGGTAAATGGGGTATCCGTCACCTCAAGCATTTCTCCTTTGTGTGACAAATAATCCAATTATATTCTTTTCATTATTTTAAAATATACAATTAAAATATTATTAATTATAGTCACTCTGTTTTGCTATCAAATACTTTTGAAGAAGGGCTTTTATACAGGTTCTCATTTGTACACTTTAAGAAGATAGCAGCTTTTTCATATACTTTTTTTTTTTTTTTTTTTTTGGGACGGAGTTTCGCTCTTGTTACCCAGGCTGGAGTGCAACGGCGCGATCTCGGCTCACCGCAATCTCCGCCTCCTGGGTTCAGGCAATTCTCCTGCCTCAGCCTCCTGAGTAGCTGGGATTACAGGCACGCGCCACCATGCCCAGCTAATTTTTTGTAGTTTTAGTAGAGACGGGGTTTCACCATGTTGACCAGGATGGTCTTGATCTCTTGACCTCGTGATCCACCCGCCTCGGCCTCCCAAAGTGCTGGGATTACAGGCTTGAGCCACCGCGCCCGGCCCTTTCATATACCTTAAAGTGCTCCAAATGCCCTTCTGTTCAAAGAGAATAACTCAATGTCCCTTGACATATTACCATACTCCAAGTCTTCTAGATTTCCCTACATTTTTACTTTCATTGTGATTTACTCAGTTGCTGCTAATATTTTCTTTCTCATCAAGAGTCAGAATATTCCCATTTGCCATGGGAAGAGATGTTGGTGTTCTGCTTATCACTTTGCCATATCTTTTCTTTGCAGACTCCATATCATGTGAACCTCCTCCTGGCTGGCTATGATGAGCATGAAGGGCCAGCGCTCTACTACATGGACTACCTGGCAGCCTTGGCCAAGGCCCCTTTTGCAGCCCATGGCTATGGTGCCTTCCTGACTCTCAGTATCCTGGACCGATACTATACACCGAGTAAGTACCAACACTCTAGGGAGGGAGCAGTGACAGAGCCCTGCCCTCAGCTGCTTCCCAGGTTTGTCCACCCTTAGAGTTGGGTGGCCAGGACTTGAATAGGATGGATCTTAAAAAGCACAGGCAGGTCCCCCTCTGGAAGCTGCACTCTTCTGTGGGTCAGTAGGATCTTCTAAAAACTGATTAAAGTCCCATTTTTTGCCAGCCAAAATGAGATATTACATATCTCTAGAGCTGGGTTTTGTTTTGAAGGAGGATTGGAATAGATGACATAGTGAATAAAACATTTTTATTGGGTTCTAAAATTCTTCAGTTCTAAGAGTTAGTTTTTTCACTTATTTTGCTTTGCCTAGATGCTTATTGGCATCTCAGTAAAGAACGAGTGAGTAAAGGAAGTAGATATATAATTTGTTTTGAACTTGTGAGGATGAATATGTCCCCAGCATGACAACTGAAGGTTTCTTTGCTTAAACATCAAAGCTTTCTAAGGCTACAAATGTGAGCCTACCCTTGCTTGTCACCTAACAGCTCACCCCTCTTGAAAGAAAAAGCTTTTCTCTACTTGTCCGTAAAGCATCAGCTTGGCAAAACTTCAGATACAGGGATGCTTTTTAAAAATTTTATTTTTTAATTGACAAATAATAATTGTGCATATATTCATGGAGTACATCATGTTTCAATACATGTAATGTATGGTGAACAGATCAGGGTATTTAGTATATCCATCATCTCAAACATTTATCATTTTGTGTTGGGGACATTTAGTATCCTCCTTCTAGCTATTTGAAACTATATATTGTTAACCAGTCATTTTACAGTGGTATACAACACTAGAACTTATTCCTCTGTCTAGCCATAATTTTGTTTCTTTTTTTTTTTTTCGAGACAGCCTCCCCGTCACCCACGCTGGAGTGCAGTGGAGCGATTTCGGTTCATTGTAACCTCCGCCTCCCAGGTTCAAGCAATTCTCGTGCTTCAGCTTCCCAAGTAGCTGAGATTACAGGCGCATGCCACCATGCCTGGCTAGTTTTTGTATTTTTTGTAGAGATGGAGTTTCACCATGTTGGCCAGGCTGGGCTGGAACTCCTGACCTCAAGTGATTCACCCTCCTTGGCCTCCCAAAGTGCTGGGATTACAGGCGTTAGCCACCGCACCCAGCCAGTTTTGTATCTTTTGACAAATGTCCCCCATCTCTTACAGAGGATTTCTCAACCTCTAGTATCCTCTGTTCTACTTTTTACTTCTGTGTTCAGCTTTTTTAGCTTCCACATATGAGTGAGTACGTACAGTGTATTAACTTTGTTCCTGGCTTATTTCACTTAACAGAATGCCCTCCAATTCCATTCATGTTGCCATGAATGACAGATTTCCTTTTTTATGGATGAATAGTATTTCATGGTGTATATACCACACTTTCTTTATCCATTGATCTGTCATTGGACACCTAGGTTGGTTCCATATCTTGGCTGTTTTGAATAGTGTTGCAGTAAACACTGGGGTGCAGTATTTCCCCAGTGATAAAATGATTTCATCCAATATAACGATTTCCTTTCTTTTGGATAAATTCCCAGTAGTGGGATTGCCAGATCATATGGTAGTTCTATTTGTAGTTTTTTGAACAACCACCATACTGTTCTCCATAGTGGCTATACTAGTTTACATTCCCACCAACTGTGTATAAAGAATTTCCTTCTCGCTACATCCTCGCCAGCATTTGTTTTTGTTATTTTTTGTCTTTTTTTTTTTTTGTAGAAAGTGATTTACTTAGGTAAAAAAAGAGAAAAAGGAGAAGAGAGAAAACTTCCATGAAGAGTGTGGAAGGAGACTCCAGAGGGGAAATCCAGGAGGGGAAAGAGAGCTCCCACTTTGTGGGAGGGGATTCCAGAGAGCTAGAAATCCCTTTTTTGTCTTTTTGATAATAGCTTTCCTAATTGATAATAGCTTTTTTAATTGAATTTGTTTTTTCTGTTGAGATGTTTCAGTTCCTTATATTTTCTGGATATTAATCCCCTGTTGGATGAGTAGTTTATATGTATTTTCTAACGTTGTGTAGGTTATCTTTTCACTCTGTTGTTTCCTTTGCTGTGCAGAAGCATTTTAGTTTGCTATAATCCAGTTTGTTTATTTTTGCTTTTATTGCCTGTGCTTATGAGATTATTCATGAAATCTTTTGCCAGATCAATATCCTGAGGCTTTTCCTCTATGTTTTCTTCTAGTTTCAGGTCTTAAATTTAGGTCTTTGATCCATTTTGAGTTGAATTTTGTGTAGGATGAGAGCTGAGGGTCTGGTTTTATTCTTCTGCATATGGATATCCAGTTTTTCTAGCACCATTTATTGAAGAGACTGTCCTTTCCCCAATGAGTGTTCTTGGTACATTTATCAAAAGTCAAATGTAGATTGTGGCATAATTTCTTAATTTCTCTATTTGGTTTAATTGGTCTATGTGTCTATTTCTATGCCAATAGCATGCTGTTTTTTGGTTACTATAACTTTGTGGTATATTTTGAAGTCTGGTAGTGGTATCAACTATCAGATGAGTTGTTTTTGCTCAGGATTGCTTCAGCTATTTAGAGTCTTTCGTGGTTCCATACAGATCTTAGGATTTTTTTTCCCTAATGCTGTGAGGCATGTCAGTGGTATTTTGATAGGGATTGCGTTGAATCTGTAAATTTCTTTGGGTAGTATTGTCATCTTGATAATGTTAATTCTTGGCCAGGTATGGTGGCTCATGCCTGTAATCCTAGCACTTTGGGAGGCCAAGGTGGGCAGATCACAAGGTTAGGAGTTCAAGACCAGCCTGACCAACATGGTGAAACTCCGTCTCTACTAAAAATACAAAAATTAGCCAGGCGTGGTGACAAGTGCCTGTAATCCCAGCTACTTGAGAGGCTGAGGCAGAAGAATTGCTTGAACCGGGAGGTAGAGGTTGCAGTGAGCCGAGATTGTGCCACTGCACTCCAGCCTGGGCAACAGAGTGAGATCCTGTCTCAGTCAGTCAGTCAATCAATTAATATTCTTCTGATCCATGAGCATGAGATGTCTTTCCATTCATTTGTATCCTCTTCAATTTATTTCATCAGTGTTTTATAGTTTTTGTTATAGAGGTCTTTCACCTCCTTGGTTAAATTTATTCCTAGGTATTTTATTTTCTTTGATTTTTGTTTCTATTATAAATGGGATTGCCTTCTTGATTTCTTTTTCAGCTAGTTTGTTTGTATATAAAAACACTACTAACTTTTGTATATTAATTTTGTATCCTGCAACTTTATGGAATTTATCAGATATAAGAGTTTTCTGATGGGGTCTTTAGGTTTTTCTGTATAGAAAATAATGTCATCTGCAAATAGGGACATTTGACTTCCTGCTTTCCAATTTGGATACTCTTTATTTCTTTCTCTTGCCTAAGTGCTCTGGTTAGGACTTCTCAGACACGGGATGCTTTTGTGCTAAGTTCCATCTTCTGACCCCAATCCTAACCTTGACTTTAGCTTCTGTGGCAATGGGTATTTTGGAATCCTTAGCCTTTACAGACTATAGATGCAGCACAGATAACCACTTATCTCCTTACATTCCATTCTTCACTGTCAATATCATAAGAATCTGGCATGTTCATTCTTTTTTGGTGCTGCCCTCTGGCTCAACCTCAGCCACACTAGAGCTCTGGGCCACATCCTGAAAAGAATTAGCCTGGCCTCCCAGTGACTTTCTTGATTTGGCATCTGTTGGTAATATAGCTGATTTGCCCACCAAAATAACGACTAGCCACCCCTGAAGCCTGACTGCATAACATGTCATTCCAGTTTGCCATGCCCACAGACAGTTGCCTTGGCTCCTGTCAGCCCCATCCTATAAATTCTCTTTCCATTGTTAAACAGAGACCCAGCTGGGAAAACAAGGCTTAAATTCTGACCCTGTCTTCCCTTTCCCTGATTTGCAGCTGACTAGGGCAGATGGAATTGATTTAAACCCTGGACTGAGGGGGAGTGAAAGGGGTGGGCTAAGATAAAGTGAGACAGGCCTCTGGACTTCTTCAGAGGCGGGCCCTGGCCAGGGGAGTCAGAATTCCTTCATGCTTACCCTTCACTGTAGCAAATCAATTTGCAATGGCGTGTAGCTGATGGAGCATTGGGTCTGGGGCACCCCCAGGTGCATGTGGAGTAAGTTGGTTGCAGGCTGGAAGGCAAAGCGTTTTTTTGCCTTTTCCATTTGTGTGGCACTTGGACCTGAAGAAGCCAGCTTTGATGAAGATTTGAAACTTAATCAAAAGGTGCTGAGAGTTGGATTTAATGACAGCACCTTAAGTACTTGGTCTCTGTGTTCTCTTTCAGCTATCTCACGTGAGAGGGCAGTAGAGCTTCTTAGGAAATGTCTGGAGGAGGTGAGTAGCTCCCATGAGATCCTGAAAGGAATGTTTGTGTCTCTGTTTGCCAGTCTTGTTCCTGTTCCTTGGTTATATTTTTTTCTGATTTTTACCAGAAGGTGTAATACATACCTACTAACCAGGTGTGAAGTTGCTACCAGGGATAGAGTTTGGTGTGGGTAGCAAGCTTATTTTTCTTTTACAGATTACCTCCTCAGTGTCAATTTTATAATTTAATTCTTTCTGGTTTATCCAAACCAGTGGTTCTCAAATTTTAGTGTGTGTAAGTATCACCCGGAAAACTTGTTAGACAGATTGCCGTCTCTGCCCCAACCCTCAATTCTGATTCCACTGCTGTGGGGTACAAACTGGGAAGCTCTGTTTTAATTGGCAGTCCCAGTTGATTTTGCTACAGGTGGTAACTGAGGCTGTACTTGAAGAACTTCTGCCCTGGACTTTATACCTGCTCTGTTCTTGTGCCACCTGTAATTGGCATACTGCCTGTTCCCTTAGTAGTGCATGAGTCTTTGTGATCTAGAGAGAAGGCCTTCTCTAAGAATTCAGGAGGACCATAGAAAACAACTAAGAAACTTGGGGCAGAAGGGGAGAGTAGACTTTGGTTTGTGAGGCCAGGATCATAGCACACCCCCCCTTTTTTTTTTTTTTTTTTTTTTTTTTTTGGAGACTGAGTCTTGCTCTGTCACCCAGGCTAGAGTGCAAAAGCTCCATCTTGGTTCACTGCAACCTCGGCCTCCCAGGTTCAAGCGATTCTCCTGTCTTAGCCTCCTGAGTAGCTGGGATTACAGGCATGAGCCACCACACCCGGCTCAGAATATACCCTTTCTAATACCGCTCCTTAGAGTCTCAGGCTTTGGGTATGGATGGAGGATGAGGAGGTCAAAAACCGGTCCCATTAGGTTTTTTTATTCTTTTATTGTTCCTGTGGCTTAAGGATGAACTTGAGCTCATGGTTTAGTGAGAGAATAGGAGGGTAACAGCAGGAGCATTGGGAGTAATGACAGTTTGCCTCTTACACAAGCCTTTTGCTTTCAGTCCACAGTCCCCACCCCCACTTTTTTATTAGAGATGGGGTCTCCCTTTGTCACCCAGGCTGGAGCAGAGTGCAGTGGTACCATCACAGCTCACTGCAGCCTGGACCTCTGGAACTCAACCGATCTTCCCAAGTGGCTGAGACTACAGACAGGCACTACCACACCCGGCTCATTTTTTTTTTTAAGAGATGGAGTCTTGCTATGTTGCCCAGGCTGATCTTGAACTCCTGGGCTCAAGATATTCTCCCACTTCAATCTCCCAATTTCAGGCCTGAGCCACCGCTCCCAGCCTCTGCTTTGTCCTGAGGACAATTAGTCTTTGTTAGTTTATTATCTTGAGACATTAAGAGAGACGTCTGTGTTTACCAGACTGATCGGTAACACACTATGGAGAACAGAACACTGGATGGTCTCATTCTTTCGTTGGTTTACTGACCAGTGACAGGCTCTTAGCTGCATCTTGCAGTTCAGCCTCCCTGCCTCCCAGTCATCCTCCAGCTGCTGTTTGTGTACCCGGTACTACTAGGGTACTAGTGCCCTACTACCAACTGCCTCCAATAGAATTTCAGTGCCACAAAAGCAGGGATTTTTGTTTGCTTGTATCCCATGTCTAGAACAGAGCTTGGCACATAGTAATTATTTGTTGACTGATTTCCTTCATGTCTCTCTGCAGCTCCAAAAACGCTTCATCCTGAATCTGCCAACCTTCAGTGTTCGAATCATTGACAAAAATGGCATCCATGACCTGGACAACATTTCCTTCCCCAAACAGGGCTCCTAACATCATGCCCACCCTTCCTCCCACTTGCCAAGGAACTTTTTTTTGCTGGCCTGCTTTATTTTTTTCTACTCTTTTCAGGTACATTCTTGATAAATGGTTAATTCAGAATAAAGGTGACTGTGGATATAATTGAGCCCTGTGGTCTGGGTCTCAGTTTACCTAATATTACCTTAGAAAGGATGTGGAGGGAAGATGGTCTTTTTGCCAGGCCTGACTTTTCCTGCTCTGCCCTCCCTTAATGCTCAGTACCCTTTAGCAGCTGATGGCTCCATGTTCTATTCCATGCTTGGCTTCCTTTCCAACTAGCTCTTTCATATATTTTACTTGTTAATGTCTTCATTCTCTCTAAAGTAGTGGTTCTTTTCACCCGTAAACTTACATTTTTTAAATTAATCTGAATGGATAATACATGTACTTCATAAAACATGCAAACAGTGCAAAAACATGTAGTGAAAAAGTTTTCTCCCATCCCTATAGTCCAATCATCTGCTTCCTTTCCTCAAGGAAACTTCAGCTACTAATTTCTTATGTTTTTTAAGAGATATTCTGTTACTGAATAAGGTATACATACATGCAGACACATGTCCCCTTTAAATTTTTTAAATTTATTTATTTATTTAGAGACAGGTCTTACTCTGTAGCCCAGGCTGGAATACCGTGGTGCAATCTTGGTTCATTGCAACTTCTGCCTCCTGGGCCCAAGTGATCCTCCCATCTCAGCCTCCTGAGTAAATAGGATTACAGGCATACACCACCAATGCCCAGCTAATTTTTATGCTTTTCATAGAGGCGGTGGTCTCACCATGTCACTTAGGTTGGTCTCGAACTCCTGGGCTCAAGGAGTCTGCCTGCCTTGGCTTCCCAGTGCTGGCATTACAGGCGTTGAGCCACCATGCCTGGCTAAAAAGTATTTTTAAATGTTCTACGTATTGCTTATTTCACTTAGCACTGTATTAGAGATTGTTTTCTATCCATACAAATAGATCTATGTATTCTTGTTGACAGTTGCATAATATTCCATTAAATTGATGCATCATGGGCACTTAACCAGATACCCATTTTACTCTTAGCCTACCTTTAGGGAACAATGTAGACGTTTTGTGGTTAAAGCCACTAAAGCAGTGATTCTTAACCAGATGTGTGTTTCTGAATGTTCATCTCACACTTCCGGTTGCTACTGATGCTGCCAGTCTAGGAACCACGTATCAAAACCATTTGGCCTTAGACTAAGATAAACTCTACTTTATCCAATTCTGTGCTCCTCTTAATACCATATACAGATGGGTTTTTGATTTGTCTGTGATGAAATGTGTCATCTAAGATACTACCTAGTGATCATAATGTTCATATTAACAGTATTGGGTTAACATTAGATTTGTGTCTTATATACTATTTAATATACCAATGGTAAATGCCTTATACCGTAAGAAGAAAACTAATCATGAATAAATGGGAGAAAAGAGATGATTCACATCACTACAGTTGGTTCAACCTCCAACACCACTGTGAATATGCATAGGTTTGATCTTTTAGCTAGATTCCTGAGTGTAAGACATCTATTTTAAAAGCACCACAGGTGATTCTGATGCTCTACCCAGTGGAGTGCCGCTACTAAAGCACAGGCTATCCTGCTACCTGATTTTCCCGTCTGTAAAATGATTGAAATAGCACCTATTCCATGTAGGTAGGTATGAGAATTACATTAGTAATATAGGTGAAAGTTTAGTGCAGAGCCTGGCATGTTGTAAGTGCTCAGCAAGTGTATAATCATTAGTAAACTTGTTATTCTGCATCCAGGCCTCACCAGGGATGACATGTGGTTCTCTGCCTTTGAATGTAAGGTCCCCAGGGCAATCTCAGGCAAGCCTACAAACCCATCCTCACTCTAGGGTTTTTTTGCCAACCTGGATCTCTTTCCTGAGCTCCAATCAGCTCATTCCTAGATAGCTCACTCTCCAGATTTAGGGACTTCAAACTCTATGTCTAAAACTGAGCCTTACCATCTGCCCCTCTCCAGACCTTCTCTGTGACATTCCGTCTTACAGAATTGGAGCCACCGGTTCCCAGGTACCTAAGTCAGAAACCCAGGCATCATTTATTTTTAATAAACATTTTATTCTGGAATAAGAAAAGTTGCAAAGATAATACAGAGTGTCCTTATACCCTTTATTCAGTTTCTGTAATATTAACATCTTGCATATACCATGGTATATTTGTCAAAACTGAGAAACCAACATTGGTTGGTATATTAGTATTACTATCCAGGCTCTATTCAGATTTTACCAGTTTTTCCACTAATTTTATTCTTCTGTTCTAGGATATAATTCAAGATACAACATTGCATTTAGCTGGGCATCATTTTTATATCATTCATTACCTCCTATCTCTATGTGGTCACCAAATTCTGGCATTTCTATATCCTAAATTTTTAATTTTTGTTGTTGTTTTTCAGAGACAGGATCCAGCTCCCAGGCTGGAATGCAGTGGCATGATCATAGCTTACTGCAGCCTTGAACTCCTGGGCTCAAGTGAACCTCTCACCTCAGCCTTTCAGCTAGCTGGGACTGTAGGTGTGCATCACCATACCCAGCTAATTTTGTAAAAAATTTTTGTAGAGACGGGGTCTCACTATGTTACCTAGGCTGGTCTCGAACTCCTGGCCTCAAGTGATTCTCCCACCTTGGTCTGCCAAAGCACCAGGATTATAGGTGTGAGTCACTGCACCTGGCCTAAATCTCTTTAAATCTCCCATCCCCATTATTCTGATTCACCCCCTGTCATTTCTTAGACTATTTAACAGCCTCTTAACTTGACTCTACTTTTAATCTCTTCCCTCTTCGGGTCTTCATCCATACTTTAAAAAATTAGTTTCACCATCCATTCCTCTCTGCCCTTAAAACTTTCTGGTGGTTTTCCATGGCTTAAGAGAATAAAGCCCGATTCTTTGGTTTGACCTGCTAGGCATTCCATAATGCTCTCCTAACCTTACTCCCCATTTTCCTTTCTCTCTTTTACACCTCATAAAGCCTGTGTTCCAAATACATTTACATGGCTTCAGTCATTCATTTGTGACTTCACACTTATGTATACCTACTGTAAGAAGGGTAAGCATTACTTTATGGAACTTTTCTTACAGAGGAGTGTGTGTGTGGAGTCATAATGTAGTGTGTTCTGGTAACTTTTGTTTTTTTCTGCTGGATTTTGGTTTTTAAAATGCCAGCTTGTCCTAAATCAATTTCCTGAAGTTTGAAAAACACTGGGAATGTACCCATTCTGTAACACTCCTGGCCAAACGCTGTTCAGAAAGGAGTTCTGATTAGCTCCCATCTGCTTTCAGGTGATTAATACACAGAAAAACAAATTATTCCTTCCCTGGCTTATGGTGGGAGTGGGATAGGTTGGAGAAGAGAGCAGCTGTTTCGCCTCAGGGTAGGGAGGCTCAGAAGCTCAGCCCAACCAGAGAGCGGATGGGAAGGCAGGAACCTTTGAGAGATGGAAAAGGCCACTGAAATGTCCCAAGAGCTTCTTGGTGTTGCTAGCTGAGCAACCACTCTGGGCCTGCCCTGCCTGAAGCCCAGAGTCCTTTCACATCTGCTCCCCTCGGCCTTTTGACCAGAGCAGCAGCAGTGCCCAAGCAAGAGAAAGAGGCGTATTCTTGGGTTCTCAGTAAGTGTGTGCTGCTGCTTGCTTACTCCAGTGTGTGAATTATGAGTTAGTGTGTTCGGAAGGAGAAGCCTGCACCTTGCCGTCACTTACCTTCCTTCATGGGAGGGAACGTTTTTAAAGACTGCACTTTTCGTATTTCTTCTGGAACACTATGATCCTTAAAGTAGGAAAGCCTTTTCTTTAAACTCCAAATTGGAATGCTTACCAAGTCTAAACACTCTCCATTTAATTTGCAGCTACTTGCTTTGCAAAAAAGAAGCCATGTAAAACAACATGTGTATATTTTATTTTTATTTTTTAATTTTTAATTATATTTTTATAGAGACAGGGTTTCACTATGTTGGACAGGATGGTCTTGAACTCCTTACCTCAAATGATCCGTCTGCCTTGGCTCCCAAAGTGCTGAGATTACAGGCGTGAGCCACTGTACCCAGCCCTCGTGTATACTTTAATCATCATCTACTTTTCCTTAGGGCTAAACCCAGTTAGAGGCTAAAATATGATTTATTTTGCTGTGGGATAAAGAAAAACAACTTAATGGGAAGAATCAAGTGCTGAGACCTCATTAGAAGCTTCTAATGCCACTTAGACGTGTCCATACCATACTGCTTCTGCACTGTTAATGATCCTGACCATATGCTGGCTTAGCAGCGTCTTGGGGCACAAAAGGCTGGGAAGACCTGTTTCCCCTTGCTGGGGTCAGGCCTGTGAGCCCTTCTGTAGATGGCCATGTGATGTAGTGGAAATGAAGGGAGGGTCAGATCACACACAGATGCGTGAGTCCCACTCACTTGCTTAGTGACCTTGGGAAAGTTGCTTTGATCTACCACTTTCTTGTTTGTAAAATAGGATTTGGTGAGGACTACATGGTCCTTTCCTTAGGAAAAGTTGTCTAGCCCCTGAAAAGTTTTTGATAAACTAATTTCTTCTGGATATTTATAACCTTTTATTGATTTGTTACTATATTACAAGCATTATATAGAAGTGCTGTGGGCCGGGCGCGGTGGCTCAAGCCTGTAATCCCAGCACTTTGGGAGGCCGAGGCGGGCAGATCACGAGGTCAAGAGATCGAGGCCATCCTGGTCAACACGGTGAAACCCCGTCTCTACTAAAACTACAAAAAGAAATTAGCTGGGCATGGTGGTGCTTGCCTGTAATCCCAGCTACTCAGGAGGCTGAGGCAGGAAAATTGCCTGAACCCAGGAGACAGAGGTTGCGGTGAGCCGAGATCGCGCCATTGCACTCCAGCCTGGGTAACAAGAGCGAAACTCCGTCTCAAAAAAAAAAAAAAAGAAGTGCTGTATATCTTATTTAATCCTCTCAACTTCCCATAGTCTAAGACAATTTTAGAGGTAGTATGTCTCTTGCCAGGCCCTAGGCTTCAGTTAAAGCAGAGCGTACTTCAGCCTTCCCCCACATTCCTTTCTGTTCCTTTCTGCAGAAAGGAGTAAGTAACCCAGATAGGGA